TGCATCCTCCCAGCAATCCAGGATAAAACCCAAACTGGGCTGTGAACCATCCCCAGAGGGAATCATCTTTTCTCCTCCCCAGCAATCCAGGATAAGGCCGGGCTGTGAACGATTCCCAGAGGGAATCATCTCCGCACCGTCCCCTGCTGTTTTCTCATGCAAATCATCCCCGTCCCCTCCTGTCCCCTCCAGCCCCTGCGGGGCCACTCTCGGGGGCTGCAGCCCCAGCAGGGCCGGGCTGGCTCCTCTTCCTCCCGGGAAACCCCAGCACTGCACCCTGGGGGATTTGGGGTGGGATCTGGCACCCAGATTTTGTCCCTGCCCCCAGAGATTTCCAGCTCTGCACCCCTTTGGGGACAGGGACAGCAGGGACAGCCCTGGTGCCACCTGCTGCTCTGCTCGGGCAGCCAGGGACACCCAGACATTCCCTGGGCACTTTGGGGTGTGTCCTTGGGGAATGAGGGGCCAGGGACGAGAACCAGCAAGAGATGGCCGAGCAAAAAAGGCCAGAAAAGCAAAAAATGAAAAGAGCAGAAAGGCAAAAAAAAAAAAAAAGAAAAGGAAAAAAAAAAAGGCCATAAAAGCCAAAATGGCCATAAAAGCAAAATAGCCATAAAAGCAAAAAGAGGCCATAAAAGCAAAAAAAGGATATAAAAGCAAAAAAAGGATATAAAAGCCAGAAAAAAGGGCATAAAAGCAAAAAAAAAAAAGGGCATAAAAGCCACCTTTGGCTGCAGAAGGGGCAGCAGGGAGCCAGCCCAGGTGTGCAGAGCCCGCCCAGATTTTTGTCTGTGGATGGAGCAGGGATGGATTCCTCCATCAGCCCCTGCACCACAGCCTTCCTCCTCCTCCTCCTCCTCCTCCTCCTCCTCCTCCTCCTGGCAGCAGCCAGGTGCGCGGGGGACAGCCAGCCCCGGCAGGGGACAGGAGCCACAAAGCCACGGTGGCTGCTGTGACAGAGGGAGGGACAGGCGGCCGAGGGAGCCCTCACACGGTGGAAATCCCTCATTTCCCGGCCCATCCTCACCCATTTCTCCTGGAAATGCTCTGTGCACCCTGGCCAGCCCAGAGCTGCTGGCACTGGTGGCTTCATTTGTCACAGAGGGTGGCAGGAGGGGCTGGGGGCAGCAGGGAGGGTTATCCCAAAATTCCTGCGGCAGCAGCAGCCACGCTTCCACCCTTGGGAAGCGACAGCACCAGCCTGACCTTAAATTCCTCTCCATTTCTCCCAAAAAACCCTGAGCCGCCGCTCAGGGAGATGATTGACAGCTGTCAATCACGCCCTCCTCTGCTGTTGCCAGGCTGATTCCCCACCTGGCTCGATTCCCGCTAATCCAGTTTGGCAGGGAGCTAATTGGGATTTATCTGACAGCGCTGCCGAGCTTCCTCAGCCCGGGAGGAGGAGGAGGAGCAGGAGCAGGAGGAGGAGGAGGAGGAGGAGGAGGAGGAAGGAGCCTGCGAAAGGCGCTCGCTCCCTCTCCCTTTCCCCATCCCCATCCCGCAGTTTTCCCGGCTAATTACCGGAGAGAGGAGCGGGAAGAGGGGGGAAAGCGGGGATTTTAATTATTTCATTTAACACTTGGCAGGAGCCGGCTTGACTCCCCGCTGAGCAGCGCCTGGAAATAAAAAAGAGCTTTTAAAGGCTCGAGAGGAGGGAGCGGGGCTGGGCTGGGCAGGGAAATTCACACCATTCCCAGGAAACGTCCCCAAAACGAGTTCCCGAAAAATGCTGCCGCTCCTGGAGCGCCGGGTGAGCGCTGTCCCTGCTGAAAATGAGGATTTTCCCCACTGAAAAAAGGGATTCTCTCCACTGAAAAAGGGGTTTTTCCCCACTGAAAAAGGGGATTTTCCCCACTGAAAAACGGGATTTTCCCCACTGAAAAACGGGATTCTCTCCACTGAAAAAGGGGTTTTTCCCCACTGAAAAAGGGGATTTTCCCCACTGAAAAACGGGATTCTCTCCACTGAAAAAGGGGTTTTTCCCCACTGAAAAAGGGGTTTGTCCCCACTGAAGAAATTTATCCAAGCAGATCCAACACTGCCCCACGCAGATGCGCTCAGGGATGGAGAATCCCTGGAAAAGGGATGGAAAATCCCTGGAAAAGGGGGGAAAAGCTCCCAGTGCAGTGCTGGGTCACACATCTGTGCCCGGGGACTGCAGGTCCCCCTGTGCCAGCCCCGCAGAGCCCTCCCTGCTCTCCTGCTGTGCTGTCACGGCACTGTCCCCTGTGAGACCCCAAATCCCACCCGGGCCGTTCTCACGGGTCTGCCTCGCCCCAAAACCCAGAAAAACCCAAGCCAGGTTCGCACGCGGAGCTTGGAGGGTCTGGAAGGACAAAATGCCGTCCCGAAGGGAAGCTCGGGAAGCACCTCCGAGCGAAGCCACGCAATTCCCGCAATTCCAAGGACTCGGAGCATCCCAAGGATGCTCTGCCCCGGGCACGGCTCGCACGGAGCGCCGGGACCCCGTTCCTGGCCGGATCCGCAGCTCCGGGGCTTTTCCTGATGTCACAGCCCCGGCGGGCACCGCGGGGACAGCGGCCAGGAGGGAGGGACAGCGGGGCGGGGAGGGGACAGACCCCCGAGGGTGTCCCCTGTCCCAAACAACAGCCAGGACAGAGCAGGGCGGTGACAGTGACAAGCCCCCGAGGGTGTCCCCTGTCCCAAACAACAGCCAGGACAGAGCAGGGCGGTGACAGTGACAAGCCCCCGAGGGTGTCCCCTGTCCCCTTTCCAAAGCAGACACAGCAGGACGGTGCTGGTGACACCCCAGAGTGTGTCCCCTGTCCCCAACAGGAGCCAGGACGGAGCAGGGCGGTGCCGGTGACATCCCCGGGTGTCCCCTGTCCCCCGCTCGGCTCCGCGGGCTCGCACCGCCACCTGCCGCCCGTGCCGAGCCCGGGAGGGAGCGGGACAGAGCCCGGAGCGGGACAGAGCCCGCGCGGCAGGAGGGGACAACCGGGGGGACAAACCGGGGGACAAACCGGGGGACAAACCGGGGAACAACGTGGGGACAACCCGGGGGATAACGAGGGGGACAAACGGGACCTTTCCAACAGTTCACCACTGTCACAGACATATTTTATGAAAAATCTTTTTGCCAGGGTCTTTCCCCCTGAGAAGCTTCAGCTCCTCCGCGTTTTGCTGCTTTGGAATGTGATTTGGGGAATTGTTTACCCAGCATGTGGAATTGTTTTTACTTGGTGACCAGTGACAGCCACCTGTGTCGAGCTGTGAGCATCACAAGAATTTCCTTTCCTTTCCTTTCCTTTCCTTTCCTTTCCTTTCCTTTCCTTTCCTTTCCTTTCCTTTCCTTTCCTTTCCTTTCCTTTCCTTTCCTTTCCTTATTCTTTCTCTCTATTTTTTGCATTTTTGTGTTTTTAGCACAACATTTCAATACAACACACATCACAACACAACAAACCACCCCTCTGAAACGCGGAGTCACGGTTCTCATCTCTTCCCTCGAACACGACCACACGCCAGCACACCCCGAGGGCTGCAGGGGGCACAGCCGGGGCATTCCCAACAATCCGGAGCCTTTTCCAGCAGCTCTGGGAGAGCCGGGAGCAGCCCAGCTCATCCCAGCTCATCCCAGCTCATCCCAGCTCATCCCAGCCCGGCCCGGCTCGGCCCGGCCCGGCTCAGCCCGGCCCTCGGGAAGCACACGGGATTCCCGGGATCCGCGGGCAGCAGCGGCCAGCAGAGGATGCTGTGGGCTTGGAAAACGTCGCTGTGCTCCTCCCGCAGCCCCAGCCTTCCCCCGGGCTCGGTGTCCCCGTGTCCCCGTGTCCCGTGTCCCCTGGGACAGAGCCCTCGGGGAGCAGCAGGGCCCAGCCCAGGGACAGGGAGGAAATCCGGCTTCATCCACAGCTCCTCCTCAGCCGGGGCCGGGTCAGTCCCCTCAGCTCCTCTGGCACCGTGGGCAGAGCTGGCACAGCTTTGTGCCACCCCACACCGCCCCTAAAAGTGATCCTAAAAGTCCTGGGGTGAGCAGAGAAGGGGGAGAGGAGCAGCTCCAGCCCCAAATCCTGGTTCAATCCCTTCTCCTCAGCTCCTCTGGCACCCGAGGGCAGAGCTGGCACAGCTTGGTGCCACCTCAGGTCACCCCAAAAGCTGCTTTGGGGTCAGCAGTGAACCTGAAAGTCTTGGGGTGAGCACAGGAGCTCGAGAGCAGGAAAAAGAAGAGCCCCAACCCCAAATCTGGGGCACCCCTGGTTCAATCCCTTCTCCTCAGCTCCTCTGGCAGAGCTGGCACAGCTTTGTGCCACCTCAAATCACCCCAAGAAGCTGCTTTGGGGTCGGCAGTGAACCTAAAAGTCCTGGGGGGAGCAGAAAATGGGGAGAGGAGCAGAGCAGCTCCAGCCCCAACTCTGGGGCACTCCTGCTTCAATCCCTTCTCCTCAGCTCCTTTGACAACCAAGCCTTGTCCCAGCTGGCCCCGGGCACTTCCAGGGGTGGGGCAGCTTCTCTGGGCACCAGTGCCAGTGTTTGCCACCCTCACTGTTAAAATTCCTCGATTCTATCAAAAACCCATCCCTGCCTCTCCTCGCTTTGCCTTCCCCTGACACTTCCCAAGGAATTCCTGCAGCCTGCAGCTCCCAGCTCAGCAGCACCAGGACAGCAATGCCCCAAACCCCACCCTGAGCACCCCAGTGCTCCCAGTTTGCCCCAGTGCCAGCCCGGAGTGCCCTGCCCGCCCCCCCAGGCTGGTGAAGTGAGAGGCTGAGGATGGAGAGGAAGATGAGGTGGGGAAGGTGAGGAAGAGCCCTTAGATCACAGCTCCAGAGCCCGGGGTGGGGACGAGGCCGGAGGGGACGGCAGGAGCTGCCCGGGCTGTGATCTAACAGCAATGGTGGCCCCAGGTGGCCCCGGGGCTCCCATTGCTCCAGCACATCCCCAGGATGAGGATGAGGATGGCTAAGCCAGCCAGGCTGATGGTGGATGGAGAAAATGGTGATTTGGGTTTTTTTTTTTGGCGTGACAGCCCCACCACTTACCGGCCAGAAGCTTCCTATGTTCTTTAGAAAGCAGGGGAGGAGAAAAAGGAGAGAAGAAATCAAGTTAGCAGCAGGAAAACAGGAGCAGCCCCCAAGCTCTCCTCCTCCCCAAGCCCCCTCTGCCAGCTGGGCACTGCCAGGTGTCTCTCCCCGGCTGGATCCTGCCCCACATCCTGGGATTCCCAGCAGGAATTCTTTGGAATGTGATTTGGGGAATTCTTTATCCCAGCTCCCAGCAATCCAAATCTCCCGGGTGAGCAGCAGGAGGAATGCCAGGGGACAGAGCTGGGTGATTCCCCCACTTCCAGCAGGTCCTGGAAGGGAATCCAAGGTGCAGGATTTGCCTCAGATTCTCCTCAGCTCCTCTGGCACCAAGGGCAGAGCTGGCACAGCTTTGTGCCACCCCACACCGCCCCTAAAAGTGATCCTAAAAGTCCTGGGGTGAGCAGAGAAGTGGGAGAGGAGCAGCTCCAGCCCCAAATCTGGGGCACCCCTGCTTCAATCCCTTAGAAGGGGCTGAATGGGCTGAGCTTATCCCAAAATCCCAATTCTTCCTCAGTCAAGCCTCATTTCGGGGGCTCATTCCCATCCCCACTCCAAGTTTGGGTTTAACCAGGTGTGAGTGGCACCAGGAGCTCCCAAATCCGCAGGGAACGGGAACGGCCGGGTCCTGCTGATCCCAAAGATCCCAGCAAATCCAAATGCCTGGAAAAACCAGGGATGGAAACAGCCCCAGGAGGGCAAAACAGAGCCCAGCACAGCACAAAGCCCAGCAGGAACACTCAGCAGGGGCTCCTGACCCTCCTGCTGGACCTGCTCCTCAGGATCTGATCCTGGACATCCTGGGGAATGTCCCAGCACAGCCAAAACTTCCACGAATTCCCTAAAATCCCGTGGGTTTTCTGCTCCAAGGGATGATTTTCTGAACCCAGGCAATGCTCAGGAGCTGCAGCTGGAGCTGCCACGGCCTCGGGTGCTCCCCTCTCCCACCCCAGAGGGCCGGGAGCGATTTGGGGCAGAGCAGGGGATGGAAGGGACTTCGGGAGGTGAAGGGTTAACAGCTGAGCATTCCCAGCCCGGGCTGTCCCGCAGGGAATGGGGAACTCCTGGGACTCCTGGAATCCCTGTGGGAGCAGGAGCTGTCACCCAGCCAGGGAAACTCCCGGGTGAAACCCAACCCTCGGCCCCTCTCTGCTATTCATGGATGGGACCCCAAATCCCACCCCACTGGGACCCTAAATCCCACCCCACTGGGACCCTAAATCCCACCCCGATGGAACCCTAAATCCCACTACATTGGGACCCTAAATCCCACCCCGATGGAACCCTAAATCCCACCCCACTGGGACCCTAAATCCCACCCCGATGGAACCCTAAATCCCACCCCACTGGGACCCTAAATCCCACTCCACTGGGACCTTAAATCCCACCCCGTTGGGGCCCTAAATCCCACCCCTTTGGGATCCTAAATCTCATCCTTTTGGGACCCTAAATCCCACTCTTTTGGGATCTTAAATCCCATACCATTGGGACCCTAAATCCCACCCCGCTGGGACCTTAAATCTCACCCCATTGGGACCCTAAATCCCACCCCGTTCCCTGGAATTCCACTCTCCCAGGCTGGCCTTGGGCACTCCCAGGGACACAAGAGGGGACACAGCAGGGCTGGCTATTGGGGGTTTTGGGGACATTTCCCCTGACAGGGAACTGCCCCCAGGGAACACCAGGGACACAAGAAGGGACAGCAGGGCTGGCTATTGTTGGGGATTTTGGGGACATTTCCCCTAAAATGGAGGAATTGCCTCCAAGGGACACCAGGGACACAAGGAGGGGACAGAGCAGGGCTGGCTGCTGTGGTTTTTGGGGACATTTCTGTTTGCTGGGGGGTGCCAGCTGTGACTGTCACCTCGGGGACAGTGGCACAGAGCCCGGTGCCACGCCAGGGCCGTGCTCCCGCAGCTCGTCACCCCTGGGCCTGGCACGGGAGCTGCTGCCACCACCCCTGGCACTCCCTGGTGTCCCCTGGCACGGCACCACACCCCTGAGGGCAGCCCGGATGTGCCTGGGACGAGTGACACGGGACGAGTGACACAACACGGGTGACACGGGACGAGTGACACGTGCCCAGGCCAGCAGGGAGGAGCCGTGCCAGGGGGACACAGCTCCGTGCCAGGGGGACACAGCTCCGTTCCCGGGCATTCCCAAATGTCCCAGCGGGCTGTGGTGGCCCCAGGGCTTGGTGCTGGGTGACAAAGGGACAGTGGCACCACCCAGGCTGCATCTGCTGTGCCCAGGATCCAGGGAAATCCAGGGAAATCCAGGGAAATCCAGGGAAATCCAGGGAAATCCAGGGAAATCCAGGGGGGAGGTGGAGCTGCCTGGCCGGGAGCCCAGGGAGTTCCCACAGGGAATGGGAACTGCAGATCTGGGCATGGGAGGGGATGGGAGAGCCAAACCCCAAACCTGCCGGGGTGGGAGAGATGGGAATGAGGGGAAAAAACAGGGAAAAGGGTCGGGGGGCTGTGGGAGAGATGGGAATGAGGGAAAACAGGGAAAAGGGTTGGGGTGCTGTGGGAGAGCTGCTGGAGCTGCTTTAGGGGTGGGGAATGGGATCCCACAAGGGTTAAAAGGGCCTTGGATGCCCCTGAGCCACACTGGACACTTGACCACGAGCCAAGGGTCACTCACAGGGACTGCAGAGCACTTGGAGTGCTCAGAGACATCCACCCACAGCTCTGGATGGACATCCCAGCCCCTTCCCACACAATTCCTGTCCATCCTGCAGCTCCCTGTCCTTTGGGACACCCCACAGCCAGACTGGACACTTGACCACGAGCCAAAGGTCACTCATGGGGACTCCAGACCATTCCTGTGCTCAGCCACATCCACCCACAGCTCTGGATGAGTCTAGCTCCATCCCACACAATTCCTGTCCTCTCCATGGCCTCCTGTCCCTCAGGAAATCCCACAGCCACACTGGACACTGACCCCATGGAGCCACAGCCAAAAATGACCCCTGGGTGACTCCAGACCTCTCCAGTGCTCACCACATCCCCCCAGGGCTCCAGACAGACACCCCAGCCCCTTCCCACACAATTCCCACCCACCCCACAGCCCTGTTCCTCAGATCCCCCCCAGCCCAGCAGGGCTCACACTTTTCCTCTGATTTCCAGCCCAAAAGTGCAACTGAGCCCAGCCTGCCCCTCCTTCCAACTCCTGAAAATTCCCCCTGGTTTGATTTTCCCCTTCAGGGAGCTGCAGCTCCGTGGGGCAGCCGTGAGCGCCCAGGAGAGAGGCAGAGGAGTTTGTTTTAGCCCAGGTTAAACAAAACAAAGCCCGACAGCAGCGCGGGAGGCTCCGTCCCAAGGTCACCGGGAATTCTCCCCGGGCAGAAGGAGCAGGGAATGCTCCTGGGGAAGGAGGCAGGATGGTGCTGGGATCAAAGCCGCCCTCCCCTGCCTGTCCCTTCCCTCCTGGGGCACCCAGGAGGTGCCCTGGCACGGCTGGGAAGCCACGTGTGGCCTGGCCAAGCCACCCTGGAGCTGCTCCTGACTCACTGGCACGGGTGAGGGACGGGGCAAAGCTCAGCTGGGCTCGCTGCTCCCGGGAAAACCCAGATCCCAGCCTGGAAAACGCCTCTGGAATTCTTTAACCCAGCCAGGGGCAGGGCAGGGGGGGCTGCTCCCAGTTATCCCGAGGAGGGGAGGCTGCCAGGGAGTGGGTGTTGGGCACCTGGGAGTGCCCAGAACCAGGAGAAGGGGCTGGGAAAAGCCGGGATAGGCACAGGCAGCTCCCAGAAATTTCATTCCCTGGGAGAGTTTCTCCCTTTTCCTCGCTCCTGGCAAGGAATTGAGGGATTTTCTCAAGTCTGGGGCACGCTTTTTGTTAATTACACACTAATTAGGCACGTTACAGCACATCAGCACCAAAGGCTGGGCCCGCCTCCCTGCAGAGCCCCAGAGCCTCAGGATTTTGGGATTGGGAGCTCTGGAGCACCCCCAGAGCCTCGCTGGGAAGGAGGGAGAGGAAGAGGCCGGGACTGCCCCACCTTCCTCCCTTCCCCAGCGCTCCAGGATTGAAACCAGATGTGTAGGAAGTGTCTCATTAGCAGTAATTGCTTCGAGAGGATTTGAGGTTTCCCCTCTCTGCCACCAGCACCAAAAACACTCGGAAGGAGCCGCCGTGGGTCCGGGACAAGGGGAAAAAACAACCCCTGAAGGCAGAGTTTGTGCTGCACAAACGTTTGGGATCAAGGCAGGGAAAGTTTGTTCAGCCGGGGCTGGCAGCAGGCTGAGGGAGCTGAAACCATCCCCGCAGATTAAGCTGGAAAAACTCCACTAAATCCCACTTTCCTGCCTCGCTGCGGCCAAATGAGTCGTGAAATGGGCTCAGAGTGGAGAACCTGGCACCCTCCGGGCTGCCAGGGGGAAAACAGGCACGGGACACTCCAGGGGCTCCTTCCCCAGAGCTGGGACACTCCAGGGGCTCCTTCCCCAAAACCTGGGACACTCCAGGAGCTCAGGACTCTCCAGGAGCTCCTTTCCCAAAACCTGGGACACTCCAGGAGCTCCTTCCCCAGAGCTGGGACACTCCAGGGGCTCCTTCCCCAAAACCTGGGACACTCCAGGGGCTCCTTCCCCAGAGCTGGGACACTCCAGGGATGTGGCAGCAGCTCCAGGTGTCCCTGGCCCATCCCTGAGTTCCAAGGTTTTCCTTCTGGACCCAAGAATTCAGAGCAGGCAGGTCCTGGCAGGGAACAGGCTCAGAGCAGGGAGACCCAAAGCAAGGCAGGATTCAGAGTCTGGATGGGCTCCAAGGCCTTCCCAAGGCCCCGTGGCACCCAGAGCCAACCTCCCCCTGTGCTGCACAAGTTTCCCACGCCAGGTGTGATTTTCCACCTGCTTCCTAAATCACTTCTTTGTTTTCAGGCTCAATTCCCACTCCTTCACGTGAAACCACCACAGAATTCCCAATTTAAGGCACAGATCTCTCCACTCACAAGTTTCCCAGGCCAGGTGTGA